TTAAAACTTGTCAAAATTTGGTGCGGATATAATTTTTTCGTCTACTGTACATAAGTTGGCTATGATTTCTCGGCCGTGCTATCATAGTAGCACAACGCCACTCATATTTGACTTACAAACAAACTACGGGCAGGAATTTTAAGATTTCAACCCTGTTTTTATGAAAAATTTTATTTTTATCAGTATTTTTCTTTTAATCAAAATATGCTAAAATAAAAGTGAAACTAAAAAACATTGTGCCAGAATTTTTGTTTACATTTAAAACTATAAAATCGAAAACGTAAGAAAACTAATCCCGAAGTCTTATCCTGGCACAGTTCACTGACTAAACGAATAATTACTTTCTTCTTACAAGTATAATTAGTCGAATTTTACTATTTTAATTTCCAAACTATCAAATTCAATTTAGGGATTGGTGTAAATTCCAACCAGCTGTTTTTGATCTGCTGTTTTCTTGTTGGCAAATTGTTATTGGTAAAAATTTCTCCAGCAGAAACTAGCAGCTTTCCCTCAAAATCAAATGTCAGTTTGCTCTCTCAATTTCCCCTACTTTGCAAGTTTTTTATGTACTCGAACACAAAAAGCTGATAGTTTTTATAACTTTCAATAATTATTAGGTTCGCGAATGCAACTAATAATGAACGGTATTTTCATTTATTCATTTATTCAATTCAATTAGTCTACACCAGAGTTGTGAAAAATGCATTAAATTTTTTAATGCATAGCATTTTAATGTAAATGCAAAAAACTAATGCATTAATTTTTGATATGTAATGTAAATGAAAACTGCAATGCATTAATTTCGAAGAAATAATGCTAATGATTTTTTTTTGTATTAACATTAAAATGTGTAAATGAATGCTATTGCAATAATTTATTGCATTAAAATTATAACAAGCATTAAAAACCCATTAACTAATTTTATTTGAAGTAAAAATTCTTTGCAGACGTTGAGGGTAGCATTTTAAGGTCAAAAAAGATAGTGACGGACGTTAAGGCTGGCTTTCACTATGTCAAGTTCAATTGCATTTGTCGTTAAATAGGTAAAAACACATTGTCAAATGGAACTAAAAACCCGTTTATTGATTGATTTAGATCAGAGTAGGTAAACATCTAACAATGTTTAGAAGAACTTTTCTACAAATACACATAATATAATGAAGCTGAAAAAACTATCAGTAAGTATTCCAAGTCCTTCCAAAAGAGGTTATTATATTTCACTAGAAAAAAAATTAATGGTTTTTAAGAATGCAAACGAGCAAAAGTATTCAACATTTTAGTGCATTAAAATTTTTCCATTAGCATTAGCTTGGATAATTTAATGAAAAAACAATTTCATTAGCATTACATTTTTCAGAATTAATGCATTGAAGTTTTCATTTGCATTCTATTTCAAAAATTAATGCATTAATTTTTTACATTACATTGGTCTACACTGAACCAAAATCCATCTCTGGATCAAAGAAAAACTTTCCTTACTTTGAGTTAGAAAATTCTTCCGAATGAGTAAAAAATTCTCCCGAATGAGTAATTTCTCTTTGGAATGTGTAAAAACGTACACGAAAATATGGAACCGTGGATGTAATCTATCATTTTGAAGAAATGGTGGGCATGAAAAGAGGATAAAACTTCTTTAGTGCTATTTCGTTCCCATTTTTCTTCATTTTGATTGCCATCTTTCTTCAATTAAGAGAAGTTTTTTTTTGAGTGTATGAAACAATAATTTCTTACAGACTATATAACAATAAAGTTTACACCAGGGCATTTTATTTAAGAGGTTAGTAAAGGCTGTTTTCGGCAACGAAAAATAAAGGTCGATAGAATTGGAAATCTGGTTAAATTCATCAAGAGCCCACGCTATGGGCGCATTACGGGCATAATTTGTACTCACATTGTCAGCATCGAATGGGAAGGAGGCACGAAGATACCTCCGTGAAACATTAAAATTGATTATTTCCAAAAGACAGTCAGAAATTCCTTGGACAATGCAAAAAATAAAAGTTAAAGATAATATTGACGTCCTTTTATCCAACGTTTTCAAATTGATAAGCAATAAGCGCGCATTATATGAAGGTATAGGATCTGAGAAGCGTACCGAAGGTAAGCCGAATTTGAGGAACACCTTCTGAATTCAGTTAATCCTATTAATATGAAACAGGCGAAAAGGACGCCAGATCATTGCTGCATACTCCAAGATCAGTAGTGTAGGAGTTATTTAGAACTCTTAAGGTGTAAGGATCAGAAAATTCAGAGCTATTCCGCCGTACAAAGCCAAGCATTGAATAAGCTTTAGAAATAAAAAAAATTAATATGGCTGGTAAATGAAAGTTTAGTATCAAAGACAACGCCAAGATTCTTGATTTCATTTACCGCCTGCAAGCTACAATTAGAGATGCTGTATCCAGTTTTAGTAAGTTACGTGACTTAGAAAACGAAACATAAAATCATATATTAATATTCAAAAAAAGATGTGAGCTCAAGCACCACGAATATAAATTATCCAGCTCGGATTGGAGTTTCAACATGTCAGCGGAGTGCATAACAACTGAGTAGATTTTTAGATTATCTGCATATAAAAGAAAATTAGCGAAGCAGAAACAAGAACCAATGTCGTTAATGAACAATACAAAAAGCAATGGACCTAGAAGGCTACCCTGTGGAACACCTGAAGTAGCAATAAAAGGTCCTGATTGAGCATCGTCCACAGTAACAAAACAGTGCCTCCGTTTAAGATAATACTTAAGCCATTGCAGAAAAGTAGAATTAAAACCAATGGAAGCCAGTTTGTCAATCAAGATCGCATGTGAAACCTTACCGAAGGCTTTAGAAAAATCGGTGTAAATACAATCAACTTGATATCCGGCAGAAAACGTACCGATACAGAACTCACTAAAAACTGCCAGATTTGTGACTGTAGAACGACCGGAGTCGAACCCATGCTGATTTGGACAAATTAGACTCTTAACAGAAAAATATATCTTGTCTTTGATCACACATTCGAAAAGCTTAGACACATTGGAAAGTTTCGAGATCTGTCTATAATTAGTTGCATCATTTTTATTCCCGCTTTTGAAGATAGGAGTTATGGATGGCAGTTTCCAGGCATCAATAAATACCCCCAAGGACAGCGATTTATTAAAAATGATTTTCAACGGAAGTACCATTGCAGCACAGTTTTTTAACACGAGAGCCGAGAGGCCATCCACAACCGTTTGGGAGGAGGATTTGAGCTTTAAGACTCCAGTTGAAATATCATCAGTTGGGAGAGTCAGTGATCCGAAACCATATGTGGACTTAAAACCAGATGAGAAAGCATCCCAGGAACGGTCTTCTTCACAATCATAGTTTGATTTGAAGAAATCAGCAAAAAAAATTATCAGCTTCTTGAGGACTGCGTGCAAATTTTCCTTTCAAGAATACTGTGGATGGTATTGTGGAGCAACCTTTTTTTTGATTTTATGAATTTCCAGAAGGCCTTAGGGTTTGAATGAATATTATTTTCGAAATTGAGAATATGGTTTCTATATAAAAATTTATCAAACAATTGAATTCTTTCAGATATTGGCGATACTTGTCATAAAACAACTGGTTATTGGTGGATTTAAACTTTTTAAAGGAATTATTCCTAAGATTCTTAAGCTTCTTCAGACGCATAGCGTACCATAGTAGCTTGTATGGTTTTCTTTTGAGAACAGGGATATTATTTATACACGTTTCGTGCACTACTGATCTGAAAGTATCAAAACATTCAGAGACATCAGTACTAGAGAGCAGTTCCTCCCAACTGACTTCGGCGAATAAACTGTTGAGACTCACAAAATCACATAAGTAGTAATTTTACGCAACTTTATAGCTGATTTTGTAGAGTACAGATACTCACATTTATACGTTGTACCAAAAATTTAAAATATATGACACACAGCTGTTTTAAACATCGGATATTTTAAATCTGGTACCTACTTGTTGTCGGAATTCAAGCAATGGCAAAGTTTTATGTTGCATCTCCAATGCCTTATCTTCTTTTAATTCCAAAAACTCCAGCTCTTCTTCGCTTTTCTTAAAAATTAGTATTTCGGATATTGTGAATTCATCCTCAATTAAGTTACATAAAAAAGGGTTTATAAAGTAAGCAAACGTATGTTGTATCATTACTATGTATGTATAAGAACACAATCATGTAAATATAGCAGGTAACATAAACGAAAGCACCTAATAAAACAGTTCGCAATTAGCAAGCAAAGTAACAGGTTGTAACGAACGTAAGGTTGTAAGGTGCGAACGGTCGAAAATTTCTTGCGCACAAAGAAAAATTGCACCTACACCGGAGGCTGTAACACCAGCGGCAGTTTTTCAATTTGATGCTTTCTACCCGAATACTGCAAAATGGTCACGTTGGGCGAAACGGTTTGAAACAGCTCTGGTGATCTTCAACAGCGACCATGAAAAAAAGCGTCAATTCTTACTTCATTACATAGGGACGGCAACGAATGATGTCCTCTGCGATAAAATCCTACCACGTACACCAGAAGACATTACGTACACGGAAATCGTTAATACATTGGAGGAGCATTATAGCCCAAAACCCAACGAGATTTTGGAGAATTACAGATTCCACTTACGGAAACAGGGAGCCGAGGAATCACGCACTGATTTTTTTCATGGCGCTACAAAGGTTAGGGGTCGCATGTAAATTCGGAACGTGTTTTTGAATTAGCTCCAAGGTCCCAGGAAGGTTATTGGAAAAGAGAGAGCTCACACTGGATGAAGTCGTTAACATTGCAAAAGCATACGAAGCAGCAGAAAAACGCTTGATCGAAATTCGGAACTGCGCCAAGACGAATGAAACAAGCGTAGACCAAATACGAACACAAGGTAAGCAGTGCGGTCGGATCGTAAATCATTGTTAGGCAGAGAGTAGCTTAGAACTGTAAAGTTAAATTGGTAGAAAATTTTCCAGGACCAAATCGACGCAGATGTGGTAGTAAAGAATATTTCACAAGATGAACCGCAAGATCAGGTGAAAAGCATCATAAAGAAATTTCCAAACTTGTTTTCGGATACCATCGGCACTATTGCTGGGCAACAAGTAAGGTTACACTTAAAACCACAAACCATATTTCATTAAATCAAGGCGAGTACCATTCCCACTTTGGGAGGCGGTAGAAGCTGAACTTGACAAGCAGGTTAGTGAAGGATTGTTGGATAAAGTGGATAAGAGCGAATGGGCCTCACCAATAGTCGTGGTACAAAAAGCGGAAGGCAAAGTGCGAATCTGTGGCGACTATAACCTTACGTTGAATCCTGCACTACGCATTGACGAACACCCACTACCAAAAATAGACGAACTTTTCAGGAATACGGCAGGAGTCACAAAGTTCAAAAAAATTGACCTGTCAAAGGCGTATTTACAATTGGAAATTCATGCGGACGATCGGCCCCTGCTAACATTGAGCACCCATCGGGGCATATACCAACCTACAAGGATGATGTTCGGCATTTTTTGCGCTCCAGCGGTTTGGCAAAGGTTTATGGAGAACTTGGTGGGAGACATTCCTGGAGTTACTGTTTTTCTCGATGACATCAAACTTGCTGCACCCGACGATGCAACACACCTTCAACGATTGGAAGAAATCTTAGGCCGTCTAGATAATCACAATATGAGAGTCAACCTTGGTAAGTCACAATTTTTAGCAGATCGTATTGAGTATTGCGGGTATCTCATAGATAAATATGGCAAAACCTGAAAACGTCAACCAACAAAGACGAAGTCCGCTCTTGCTTGGGGTTGTTTAACTACTACGGGAGATTCGTAAAAAACCTAAGTAGTATGCTATATCCGCTGAATAGACTGTTGCAAAATAAAGTTGAGTTCCAATGGGATGCCAAATGTGAAAATGCCTTACAGTCAATAAAAGACGTTATGCAATCGGACATTGTGTTGACCCACTATGATCCTAAATTACCAATTACACTAGCTGTGGACGCGAGCCCCACCGGGGTGGGTGCAGTGTTGAGCCATACCTTGGCGGATGGCACGGAAAGGCCAATACAGTTTGCCTCCCAAACGTTGAACAGAACGCAACAAGCTTATAGTCACGTTGATAAAGACGCTTATGCAATTGTTTTTGGGGTGAAAAATTTTACCAATACTTATTCGGAAGGAAATTCGCTTTAATTACAGATAACAAAGCAGTCGCACAGATATTTTCACCGCAGAAAGGGTTACCAACATGTTCCGCAACTAGGTTGCAACATTACGCTATATTCGTACAATGAAACCAAAAAGGGGGTGGAGAACACCAACGCCGATGCAATGTCGAGGTTACCTTGCTCGGAAAAATACTATTGTATTGAAGAGGTGGATATTATTGAGTACGAAGCAATTCAAAACATGCCGGTGACCGTAGAGGAGCTAACTACAAAAACGAAAGCAGATCGGGAAGTACACAAGTTGGTCGCGAATGTGATGCAAAGGACCGATTTGGAGTAGTACAGACGGAATTTACGCTACAGAAGAGTTGTCTTTTGCATGGTATCATAGCCTACATAACGAAACCCTTACGCAAGCGAGTACTACAGGAACTACATACAGCTAATTTCGGAATGTCAAAAATGAAACGTATTGGTCGAGCATACTGTTGGTGGCACAACATGGACAGAGATATCGAAAACTTTGTATCGAATTGCAACGCATGCCAGTTGGTAAGAGCAGAACCGAAAAAGAGTACACCAGGGCATTGTTGGGTAACACCTACAAAGGTGTTCGAAAGAGTCCATGCGGACTATGAAGGCCCAGTATTAGGAAAGTGCTTATTCGTACTTGTAGATGCGTTTAGCAAGTGGCCCGAAATACATATCGTCCCGAATATGAATACTGAAACGACAATACAACTGTGCAAAGATATTTTTGCTACTTTCGGGTTACCTAACGTTTTCGTGAGCGACCACGGAACACAGTTTAACTCAAAGGCATTCCAAAGTTTCTTGAAAAACAACGGCATCACACATAAACAAGGCGCACCATACCACCCCGTGACAAATGGCCAAGCGGAATGGTTTGTGCAAAGGGTAAAGATCAAACTACGATCAGCTAATTGCATTTCGAGTAGTATGACTCGCGAGTTGGCAAACATTATAATGGCTTACCGTCGATCAATTCACCCTGCAACAGAAAAATCACCCGCGATGAATATGTTTGATCGGCAGATCCAATCCAAGTTAGAACTATTGCTCCCAAGTAACAGAAGAAGCGACCAAGAACGCCCACCTAAGAAGCAATTCCTCGTAGGAGACAAAGTTGCAGTTCGCGATTATTTATCGAGCGCTAAGCGGCAATTCGGATTAGTCAAAGAGTTACTGGGTAGTTTACAATACTACATTCGTTTAGACGACGGTAGAACGTGGAAGAGGCATGCGGACCAAATGAGAAAAGTATGCGAAAGAGTGATCCATTCAAAGAAAATGCCAGAAGAGCCGGGAGAAGCAGATCAAAGGAAAGATGACCAGATAACGCTGTACGAGGCAACATCATTTAAGCCCTCAGCGAGCCTAGCAGATCAATCCATAGCCGACAAACCTACCATAGCCCGCGAGACGAATGATTTTCCACAGCGTCTGACGACAACGGAAAGTGAGACGAATAATACAGGCGACACCACTATTCGAAGATCCACACGTAACGGGAAGGTACCGGAACGATATAAAGACTTCTTGACATAGATGGATTCAGGAACTATTAACTGCTTAAAAATTTAAAATTTGTTAATTCAACGTAAAACGTACATTTAAATAATTTCAAATCGGCAATTTTTTTTTTAATCTGCAAAACTTTTTTTCTAGCCTAGCAAAATGATGAAATATTCTTGTAGAGACGAATTCAAGTTTTGGCAAACGTTCCATCATATCGGTAAAGAACATTAAGTCAGAAAGCCAATTTTCAATCTACAATTGCGGGTAATGTTCCGATCTCAATTTGCGTATGTGTATTCAAAAAGAATAAAAAAAAAACACTATAAAGGAAAAGAATGTCCAGCAAAGAAACATGTATTTTAAAAAGTAAAAAGAGCCAAAATGTTCTAAGCAAAGAGAAAGTAAAAAGAGCCGGACTTTGCTAAGCAAAGAACCGCATTTGGTTCAAAGAGCCGCGTTTGCCCACCGTTGGTATATGTGTATCTCAAAAAACTACTTGACCGATCTGAACACATTGCGCTTGGGCTTCTTAAGCGCTATATTGAAAATTTTTGAAATCGGACAAAAACAACGGGCTGACCAACATAGCGGTAATTTCAAAAAAACTCAAGGCTAGCTATATTTTAGGAGGAGTAGGGTTTGTCCGATTTCAAAAATATTCAAGACAGTATATAGGAGGCTAAGCACAATGTGTATACCAAATTTGGTCGAGATCGGTCAAGTAGTTTTTGAGATACGCATATATCATAAAAGTGGGCGGTGCCTTTCCTTTCACTTTCCTAAAATTTCTTGAAAACCCACTTTTTTGCTAAAGAGCGATTGTATATATACATTTTGAACAAATATTGATGAAGTTCTTAGTCACACTGCTCAAAAAATCTGAAATTCCGGTACATACACACATATAAATTCAAGGCCGTATTTAAGGAAAGTTGCCTAAATTCGACAATTTTTATGCGATTGCAATAAAAAAGGTATCAGTTTATTTGAAAATAGATTTAATTTTAGATAGTACTGCATATTTTTTAGAAATTGTAGATATTACCGATGGTAAAATTTATAGAAATTAAGAGAAATAAGGGCAGTTTTTCTAATTTACCCGATAAAAAATCCCAACAAGCCAAGTCCAAAAATAGATTATTATAAACAATTTTAAAGGCCTATATATTCTCTTCTTAGATCATATTCGATCTTTGAAATCGAATCAAAAATAGTCATCCAAAAACTCTCTGATCGTATTTCGCGATCTCTAAATGACCTTTAAAAAATCTATAAAAATAGGCAAAAACATCTCTTATAAAATCGAATAAAAATAGGGGGTAGGGTCTTGAAATTTCCAAAAAAAGCATTTTCGATGGGCACCCTAATGTACATGTTATGCTTCAATAAGTTCTTTTCCATTGTGTTGTTTTTCTATTTTATTATTTTTATATATTTATGTACTACTGGAAATGCAACATAAAGCTTTGCTATTGCTTGAATTCCGGCAACAAATACCAGATTTAAAATAAAACAGCTGCGTGCCGTATATTTTCAATTCTTGGTACAACGTATAACTGTGGGTCTTTGTACTCTGCAATGAAATTCGTAAAGTCAAAATACTGTTCACAATTAGTTGCATTCGCGTACCGGATAATTATTGAAAGTTATAAAAACTATCAGCTTTTTGTGTTCGCGTACGCAAAAAACTTGCAAAGTAGGGGAAATTGAGAGAGCAAAACATTTTATTTTAAGGGAAAGCTGCTAGTTTCTGCTGGAAGATTTTTTGCCAATAGCAATTTGCCAACAAGAAAACAGCTGGATGGAATTTACGCAAATCCCTAAATTGAATTTGATGGTTTCGAATCAGCTATTTGAACACAGTAGTAGATCTCTAACCAAGTGTTGTAGAATATGTGTAAACTTTTTACAATAGAAGTGTTACATACACATAAATATTTTCCAAAAAGAAATTTTTCCGGCCATGAAATACATAGCATACGAATGTGGATAAACTGCAATCGCCTGTGTAAATAATGTTTCAAATTTCTAAGCAACAAAAAATAGCTTGGCCCAAGTAAGTAGTAGGTCAACTTTTGTCAGACGATTTTTTCTGGATGGAACTCTGATTATCTGCTAGTGTATTTGAGAATTCAGAACAAACATAAGTCACTAATAATAAGTGTGATGTAAACAAGTGCAATAAGTTTTTAAGGGCGTTTCAGTGCCAGTTTAAACTTAGATTAGGTAAACTGAGTTTAAATTGAACAGCTGGCTGACATAAAAAAAAGTATTACAGTGTTTTCATTTCTACCAAAGAATACCGCTTTTTCATGGTCCCTTTCTCTTTTCGCGTTTGATTCTAAATTAAAGGCAAATGGTGAGAAAATTTGTGATTCGTTTTTTTAAATTCACACTCTTGTAAGGCAAAAAAGGCACATTTTCTGCCCTATCGCCAGTAAAATCGCCTCGTGTAAATGCAGCTTATCCTTCATATACGCAATAGAAAATTTTAAATGCTTGGCATCGCCTTCAGCCCTTCAACTAACCAAATATTCACAATAAATTTTCATGACTTTTAAATTCATATTGAGTAGAAAATTTGCTGTTTAACTTTTATGAAAGCAACATTTTGGCAAATTAGGCTAATAATTTTATTTCAGTAAAATTTTGGTAGATATTTTAAAATATGTGGTAGTTATGGTAGAAGTGAAAAATTATCCAAAATGTGGTAGATCTACCACAATTGTGGTAAAGTGGCAACCCTGTTTGGAATTTAAAATAGTAAAATACGACTATTTAAACTTGCAAACTTGTAGTCAGTGAACTGTGTTAGGATAAGACTTCGGGATTAGTTTTCTTACTTTTTCAATTTTATACAAACAAAATTTCTATCAGCTAACTTTAACTTTCGTCTAACTTGAAAGTTTCTGCAAATTTTCTGTTCGCGTACTATTTTGGATTTTGAAAATTTGGCCAAAGGGATCTTTTGAATTTTCTTGAATATCTATCTTACGTATATTAGAATAATAATAAAATTAATGTTTTTCATTTCTAATAATAATTTAATTTAAAAATAAAATTTTTGTTTTTGTTGTTTTTTTGTGGCTCTTTATAGCATTTATAATTTACATGTGGCTCTTTTCGGCCTCAGCCTTGCCCACCCCTGACATATAGTATGGGGCATTTTTGTTTACAAGTTCCTTGCATAACATTATGCTATTGATACTCTCAATCTTAAGTTTATTTCTCAGTTTAGATTCTATCAAAGAAATCTTTGAAAATTTGCGTTCTACAGCCGCAAAGCTATGTGGTAATGAAATTATATTAAAAACAAAATTGGCGCGATGCATGAAGCTATATTTTTAATAGAATAAACTTTTTCCCAAAACGTATCAACATCCAGATCGCCCGATATATCAAGCTCACTTAGCCTCAGTAAATTCCACTGCGTGGTTATTATACCAGGATCGCAATCTAAGAGCTGAGGAAACTTTAACAAAAGAGGTAAAATTGGTAAATCTTCTTTAGAAACTACCTTCGCTCGTGTCATCATTTGTAAAAGTTTTATATCTTCACACTTGAAATCAAATCTAAAATTTACAAAAACTCTATGTAAAACTTTAATATATATTTTTTTTTAACTTCAAGAATTCCAGAAAAATTTAAATAAATAAAATAAAGTTTCAAACTATCCCATTGCTCAACTTTTTTTAACACAACGCTTCCTAGAGAAAGCCATCGTGTTTTATCGAACAGTAGTCCTGAAATTCCTTCAGTTCATATATCCTCTTTGGACTGTGGGAAAAGAAACACAACGCTTCCTAGAGAAAGCCATCGTGTTTTATCGAACAGTAGTCCTGAAATTCCTTCAGTTCATATATCCTCTTTGGACTGTGGGAAAAGAAACTATATATGTTGCGGCACAGTGTCTCAATGCTTTTCGGCAATTTTCTCAAGCGTAGCTTGATCAAAGGTGAAGTGAGGGACATGTGCACTTTATATAAAATAAATCGGTTTCTGTACTCAATAATGTTTTCAGCCCGCCCAGGTCTACAGCCATAACATTGGCTCCATCATTGGCCAAACCCATTAAGTTTCTTATTTTTAAAGGCAGGATTGGCAAAATGCAGTTGGTCTTTAACCCATTTAGGGGACATAGTTTTTTTGGTTACAGCCACTAAAGTGGTGTATGCTTTCCGCTTCTCCTAGGTTACAAACTGGACAAGATATTGATAAAGTGTTTGTGAAGGCCATTACATTTAGATTGAGTAGACCCCCTCTTGTGCGGAAAATCATGTTTTTTGTTTAGGCAGAGTACTCGTCACAGAAATAGAGAGTTTTTAGTGGAACAAGCTGCGGATAAAGACCATGTGATGTAGATTTCAGAGCACTATCAAGATAAGTACTGAATTCTTTCTCTAGTACCTTATCGAGGAATTTAGGGATATAGTCATTAAAAGCTGTGGAGGGAAAATCAGTTAGTGGGGACGAGTTCACACTTTGCCACTTCTTAACCCAGTATGCCTCCGGGCGAACAGTTTCCACTGCAAGTATACGTGGGAGCCTACTAGCTTTCAGGCTAAAACATCGGGCTATGGAATACATGTGTGAGCACAAGGTTTAATTTGGGGTATTGGTTGGCAAAAAAATAACCTTCTTTATAAAGTACCTAGGCAGTTTTTCCACTTGCCCATACTTGTCTACTCCCCTCACCTGTGCACCATAAAACATAATTGACTTCGAGGCCGCATCGAAAATTTTTATTTTTTTCGACAGGTTGATACGTGGATTATTTATATACTTTAGTCAACTCGCGTTTATGGCATTCTGTACGTTAACCAATTTAGCCTCTAATGGCAAATGAAAGCTTATAATTCAGCAAAATTTCTGAGTATAGTAGGCTACAGTCCGGCCAGGTTAAATACAATCCAGCCGTGGAGAGACCTCAGATTCGGGCACGCAAAAGTACTTAGAACTCTACCGGATAATCTACGACAGATAGATTATACCACTCCTCTAGTCTGCTTAGACAACAAATTCTCCACAAG